AAGCAGAGCTGTTTTAAAGTCTATTCTCTGAGCCACAGGAAGCCAGTGCAGGGACCTGAGGACTGGACTAATATGGTCGTACTTCCTGGTTCTAGTCAGGACTCGAGCTGCTGCATTTTGAATGTACTGCAGCTGTTTTACAGCCTGTTTGGAGAGACCTGTGAGCAGGCCATTGCAGTAGTCTAACCTACTGGAGACAAATGCATGGATAAGAATCTCCAGGTCTGCTTTAGACACTATGTTTTTGATCCTGGCAATGTTTTTTAGATGGTAAAAAGCTGCTGATGTTACTGATTTGATGTGGCTATTAAAATTTAAGTCTGAGTCCAGTATTACCCCTAGATTTCTGACCTTGTTTGAAGGTTTTAGGGAGAGAGACTGTAGGTGACAGATGACGCTCTCTCTTTGTTTCTGGGGACCAAAGACAATCATTTCAGTTTTGTCTGCGTTTAGCTGAAGGAAGTTGTTTTATGGACTTATGGACACTTAATGTGTATAAGTGGTTGTTATTATGGTTAGTTTGTATACAAAACCAAGTTTTCTCAATATAGTCTTTGGGAATATGTGGGAATTGTTGACAAAACAATTGCGCAGGTTGAGATCTGCACTCTATTGTTACCACTTTGCACATTTTGTCTCCTGTAAGATAAATTATTGGAAATTGTAAGGTTGGTAAACAAAAAGAAGCATACAGTGACTCAGGAGTCAATATTATAATCAGAACCAAATGTCTTTGGTCATGTCTGATTTTGGACATCCCATATAATAATAAAATGTTTGAGTGTAGCCTGTGCATCACGGAGGTGTACACTCCCGCAGCATGTGTTTATTGTCTCTAACGTTGAATTACCTCCACATGTTCTTGTACCAGAGTTTGTAAAGTGGTGCCATTAATTGCTGTCACAGAACCCACCTCTCAGAGCAGTGACCCCCCAGCCACACATCCGGCCAGGGCCTCTGTTGTGGTCCCACTGTTTGATCTCTTTCCAGGGTCCCCAACACAGAACACATGTCTAGTCTTGATGTGTTTACAAAACAACATTCAAAATCAATGAGCGTCATCGACGTCAAAGCACAGTGGCGTGTGCTACATGACAAGCACTTAAATCTATCGTACAAATCATATTCCATGATAGAGAGATGCTCACCTATGTGTCTGTGTCTGTGTCTGTGTGGTTTGGAAACATCACAGATAAAGAAAAGAGAGCTTTAAACAAGGTGCTCCGCTCTGCAAAGAGGACCGTGGGCTGTGAGCTTCCTGTTCTGGAAGTTCTTTATAAATCCAGACTTTTAAACAAAGCTCTTAGGATTGTCAATGACTCTTCTGGCCACCCTGGGAAAGCCATGTTCCAGCTTCTTCCCTCTGGCAGAAGATATCACTCTCTGAGATGCAGGACATCTCGTTACGCTAACAGTTTTTATCTACAAGCTGTTATCAGTGTGAACAGAGCACTTTAATGATTTGCACTTGTTTTGAACTGTTTTAGTCGATCGATTTCACAGTGACATTTGTTTACTGTTTTATTTGTTTTATTTTTGTCTTTTAATGTTGTTTTATGTCTGTATTTGTCTGTGCACACTGGAGACTTTTGCTAATGTATTCCAATGTGGTTTTTTTTACTGCAAATGGCAAAATAAACTGAATCTGAATCACCATAGTCACAGAGTAAGAGGAAGACAAATCTATTGTTTTTTACATTTGTTTGTCTCTAGACCTTGTTTTGTGTCCACAACTTTGTCATATACAGTGCCTTGCGAAACAAGAAGACTGATCAGAGATGCAGCCAAGAGGCCCATGATCACTCTGGATGAACTGCAGATAACTACAGCTGAGGTGGGAGAGTCTGTCCATAGGACAACAATCAGTCGTGCACTGCACAAATCTGGCCTTTATGGAAGAGTGGCAAGAAGAAAGCCATTTCTCAAAGATATCCATAAAAAGTCTTGTTTAAAGTTTGCCACAAGCCACCTGGGAGACACACCAAACATGTGTAAGAAGGTGCTCTGGTCAGATGAAACCAAAATCGAACTTTTTGGCCACAATGCAAAACGATATGTTTGGCGTAAAAGCAACACAACTCATCACCCTGAACACACCATCCCCACCTCAGCTGTAGTTATCTGCAGTTCATCCAGAGTGATCATGGGCCTCTTGGCTGCATCTCTGATCAGTCTTCTCCTTGTTTGAGATGAAAGTTTGGAGGGACGGCCGGGTCTTGGTAGATTTGCAGGGGTCTGATACGCCTTCCATTTCAATATAATTGCTTGCACAGTGCTCCTTGAGATGTTTAAAGCTTGGGAAATCTTTTTGTATCCAAATCCGGCTTTAAACTTCTCCACAACAGTATCTCGGACCTGCCTGGTGTGTTCCTTTGTCTTCATGGTTCTCTCTGCGCTTTAAACAGAACCCTGAGACTATCAAAGAGCAGGTGCATTTATACGGAGACTTGATTACACACAGGTGCATTCTATTTATCATCATCAGTCATTTAGGACAACATTGGATCATTCAAAGATCCTCACTGAACTTCTGGAGTGAGTTTGCTGCACTGAAAGTAAAGGGGCCGAATAATATTGCACGCCCCACTTTTCAGTTTTTTATTTGTTAAAAAAGTTTAAATTATCCAATACATTTCGTTCCACTTCACGATTGTGTCCCACTTGTTGTTGATTCATGACAAAAAATTACATTTTTATATCTTTATGTTTGAAGCCTGAAATGTGGCGAAATGTTGAAAGGTTCAAGGGGGCCGAATACTTTCGCAAGGCACTGTACATTGCACTAGTCTGGAAGTCAGCATACTGCTCTGAATACACGATATTTCTGGTAAGCAGCACGAGGCTTTCAGTGTGACGCATAGGCCTAGTGTTGGTCTCTCATTGGCTCAAAACGAGGGTGTGTTCCCAGTTTCAGCTTAAAAACAGACTGAATGTGCAGGAGATTCCAGTCTGCGGTATAGGCGCTCCTGGCAGCCTCCCAAGTGTCCATTTGTGCCCAGACGCAGGCCATGTCCGCTACGCCTCCTCGAGAGACTCATTTGCAAATCCACTGGATTTGCTGCATTGCCTTTTCCCTTCATGCACATGGGCAGCCTGTCTGCGGCACAGAGGCTGCATCCACTTTTATTAAAATGATTAGAAAAATAAATGCGAAGAAAGAAACATTAATTTCACGTAAAGTGATTGGCTATAGGCTACTCCACAAAGATTATTTTTCATATTTAAATATGAAAAACAATCTCTTGGCCAGTTCCCTTTTCTAAGCCAGCAAGACACACAAGTCCGCTCCATTGACTCAAACCACAATTTAAATGATAGATATTGCAGGCTTGAGGTAATAATTATATATATTTAGAGCTTTAAGAGGTCGTTATTTTGGTGAGGTTGTATACAAAGCCAAGTGTTGCTCTTTCTTGAGCTTTCAGCGATGTTCTCAATATAGTCTCAAGAGACAGGCGAATAGTGACGGGAATGTGCAGTGAGCTTAGAATGTATTATTATAAGTTGAAATGGTTCTATAGACTGGATTTGACGGTTGCAGTTGTGACAATGCACGAGTTAGTGTCTGTCTTGTCAGTTCATTATCAGCTGTTATTGACAGATTTGTTTTCTTTGTTTTCTGTTTTGGGTCAGGACTGTTCTAGGGTTAAGGCCTATAATTGGATTCTCTGTTCTATGACCTGTTATCAAATAAAAAGTGGGATAAAGCATGAGTGGGACCCTTAGAGGCCTCTATCACAACTACTGATCTCCATGTGGCTCTGCTGCAGTTGGCAAGTTCAGCCAATCAGCACTTCATGACCCACACTACTTATCACCCCTTTACACACCCGGCTTATTTTCTATTTTCTAAAACTTATTTTCAAATTGATCCTGTTTTATGACTGAAGCTGATGCTCTGTGTTTGTCCTCTGGTTACTATTTTTGTTCTGTTATACAGTAAGTATGAGGTCTAATTGACTGTGATGACTACCTGCTGGGTTTTAACAATCCCTCTTTTAAAATTGAACTACACTTGAGATTTAGGTTGTAAAAAAGCAAAAGAAAAGTCCCATTTAAAATCTTTCTAAAGTCCAATTTGGCTAGTATCTCATTAGTGTTTTGAAGAAGTCATTTGAAATAAGTAAAAATGTAAAGATAATAGGAAATATCTTTAACTGGATCTTTCATGCTTCCAGTGTTGGTGGTTATATTTGTTCAATTGGTCAACAGATCTATAGGGCCAGTCTCCTTGGACTTTATTAATGATTAGACACATACAGTAAGTCTTTCCAAATTACAAGATAAAGTCTGGTTCCCCAATCTCTAGTCCATGGTTTATGAAATTATAAGAGGAGGACTGTGATATAATTAACGTGCAACGTTCACATGAACACAACTAAACAGTTGGGGAGAGAACAACTGAAGAATAAGGTGAGCCACAGCAAAACTAGTTGACTCAAGTTAATTTTATGCTGTAGGGCACCTGGCGTTCAAACCCAAAAAATGGAACAATAGAATACAATCCATGTAACTAGTTCCTCGCCTTGGTTGGTTGTAGTATGCAGTGAATTTTTTTTTTTTTTTAAATACTAAGGCAGCATGCTGTGGCCTGATTTGTTGACCCCTCCCCCTCTGTTGGTACAAAGTGTATTAGTTATATATAAAAAAATTAAATAAAATTAAAAAGTTCCCCAGCTTAAAGAATTAAAAAAAAAAAAAAAAAACTTGTATAGTTTTGGTCAGAACGGGAGCTTTCACTGGACACTCCCCTAAAACCTTGGACTTAGATGTCTGCATCTCTGATTGGTTCTACAGTCCCGGCCGACAACACCTGCTTAACTCCTTCATCCAAATTGACACCCAGGGGTCGGTGAGAAATATAGGCAGCATCCCTCTACGGCTTGTGCGCACTCCGTCAGTCCTACAGCTGGCCAATAGAAGACACCAGAGCCCAGCGCACCACACACGCAGCAGACCAGGGATCCTTGCCTTGGCGACACAGAGCAGCAGAAGACGCAATGTTTGTGAAAGTGGCCGCTGCGCTGCTGGTTCTGTCTGTGCTGGACCAAGTAGTGCCTTCGGATAGTACGGACATTCACAGTCATGATACCCCCCCAGAGAAGCCGGCGAACCAGAAAGGACGCATGTCTTTGCAAAACACAGGTGAGCGCACGAGTGGTGGTCAAAATCATGCTTTTTCTATATTTTATATTCAATAAAAAAAAAATCTTCTTGATGGGCTTGCACATCTGCGCGGGTTTTGATCGGACACGTGTTAGTGGAATGCATATAGAGAGGACGTCTTTGCATGACGCTTGGTTTCCTTTAGATGACTTAGAAATGATCTTGTAACGAAACGGACAGAAATCTAATAGATAAGTAAACTATTCATACAATGGGACTGGTGAAGTGATATATGTCGATGCGTGATGCGCCTATGGATGCGTGCGTAATTGGGGATATGGGGAACTCAAGGTCTTATAGAAGGTGGTGTATAGCTAGTGTTTAAACAGGTTAGTGAATCCCCGAAGCAAGATCACCAATTGAAGAAGTCCTATTATGTCATCTAACTGAATCCACCCGTCTAGTACCTAATTATTATGATTATTAGCCTATCTGTGTTATTATTTTATTATTATTATTGCTGCTGCTGTTGCTGTTGTTGTTATTATTAGGTATATAGGGCGGGTTTCACAGCACAGGAGCTGATAACACCACTGTGTAATTCAATGCACGTTGCAGCTGAGGCTCGTACGATCCAAGCACATTCTCCTGATGCCAAAACAAGCACTGCTGACAGCCGCTCACTTTCCTGCGCACTTGAGTTCAACTCCTACAAATCCCAAGTCTTCCCCCTCCCCCTGAACGCAGCCACGCTCCAAACACCGCCGCTAAACAGAGCTTTCTTTGTTGACAATATTTCTAATAACTTTCTATGTTCGTCTTTGCTGCGGTCTCTAAACGCCTTGACTCAACTGGTGGTAAAAAAGAAAAAAAAGAGCAGTTCTCACGCCCATCACTTAAGCTATCAGCTCCGAGACAAATCACGCGTGTAATTATGTTTTACGTAGGTCAACAGTTTGCCTTCTCGCTGCCAAACTGTAACTCCATATGACGTCTTGGCGTGGCATGCATTTTTCCATATTAAATTGGAAATAAAAGAGCCATTAAAATGATTGCATTCATTCCGCAACATTTTTTTCTCTTGCTTGTAATCTCATAACGTCTAATTATATATGTAACTTATAGTCTAAGACAGCAATTTGAGGTTACTTTACTTTCTTCTTGTAATTTATGTCCTTAGTCATTTGCTTTTGACTGCCATGGCATAAGTAGATGGAGGGAAGCAACCTGGGGCTAGATTGCAATGTGCACAACCTAGCATTATGCATTTACTTGGCCTACCCCAATGATTCGTGATTAACCTAAAACCATGTTACACATTTAGCCCTTTGATGATGCAAGCCAATAAATGTCACACAAGACACTTGTTGATGCCTGCTGACTTTATAATTGTGCAAATGTTTTTAAGTATCTGCAATGCACCATCTCATGCAAGCCAGTGCAGATGGAGTTTGCTGCACAATGACACAGTGATATCTCGGCGATTTCGTCGTCATACGCGCCTCTCGCATAATCAAAATATTGTCAAAATAATGTGTACCACAAATTGCCCCCTGCATGAGCGCTATAGGAGTCATAACCTGAAAAGGAGGCAATAAGATGTAGCCACCAATTAGCTCTCAATCATATCAACAACAAAATGCTCAATTCTAACTTGTGCTCTGTGTTTTTTTGTTAATCCAGCTGAGATCCAGCATTGCCTTGTGAATGCAGGGGATGTGGGCTGCGGTGTGTTCGAGTGCTTTGAGAACAATTCCTGTGAGATCCGGGGTCTCCAGGAAATCTGCATGACGTTCCTGCACAATGCTGGCAAATTTGACTCTCAGGTATAAAACTCTTTTGTTTAGCTGCAGGCAACATACTTATTTCTGCTCCACTGCACTCAAGAGCACATTAGCTTAATATGATTACTTTCACATACCTCAAGTGGTGGAAGTTTTCTCAGATTTGTAAACTGTAATTTATTTTCATCTCTGGGGAACGACTGCTTCCCTTCAGTAGACGGGGCATGTACAGTTGGGATAGGGGATCAGGAGGAGCCAGCTGGCATGGGGCCCTGTCCGCTCCTTTTTCATACACAGTGGAGAGTGCAATAGTGCCAAGCCAGGCCTGACTGGGGTCTTAATATGTCTATAGGGTCACATATAGGAACTCACATATTTTGGCAGATTATGTGGACCACAAGAATGACACGGTTGACTGCTATTCTCATGCATTTTAATCACCCCAATAAAAAAGCATAGTCACACTTTCATATCACATACCACACTGATCCTTAACATTATCTTATGTTAAAGCTGGACTATCTGACTTTCAAACTACAACAAATATCACGACTTCCTGGCTCTATAACAGTTTGGTTCTATCACTGTTTTTTTCATGTATTTTTTGCTACATCACAGATAAGCTTTTTCAGACAGAAGAGAGGACCTCCCTTACTCAGCCAATCAGCTCTCAGTCCAAAGAACAACATTTGCTGGGCTCTTTCTTACAAATATTCAAAAGATAACATTTTGACATTTTCTAATAAGACAGAATGTTGTGGTCTAATTTGTTACAATGCCCTTTCTGTTGGAACAACCAGCATGTATTTTTAA